TGATAATCCGGAAAAAGTGACTGAGAAGAAACAAGCTATACAAATAGGAGGAGAAGCGAGAGAGAGCAGTGTCATAGAAGGAAAGGAAAAGAGTCCAAAAGGTGAGGGTGATGTAATGTCAAAAGCTATAGAAAGTTCAAGAAAGAGCAGCAGTGAGAAAAGGTTATTGGATTTAGAAACTAACAAATCTTTAGTAGTCATGAAAAGAGTAATTTCTGTCAAATGGTGGGTTTGGAAGGCACATTACCAGGGGGTAATAAATGAGTAGGAACTAAAGAAAGAGAGGTAATGAGTGTAGAAAGTTTTCCTAAAAATTTGGCCATGAAAGGGAAAAGATACATAAAATGATGGCTTGAGAGGATGATAGAGTCAAGTCAAAGACTTACAGAAATTGGAAAACATGGGCATATTTATAAGTAGCAGGGAAGAAGTCGAGGGATTCAAGGGCAGAGGACAAAGTACAGATGTGAACTGGTAGACAATATGGTTAAGATTATGTTGGGGGAAAAGTGAGGCCAGAGCAGAGGTGATGACCTAGGAGACCATAGAGGGAGGTGTTGCCTGTAGACATGGCAACAACTCTAATTCTTTTTGGATTCTCTCTCCTTGGGCTGGAGTTGGCTTGCTCACTTCACTTACACTTACTTCAGCAAGCTGAGGTGGTTACTCAGAGTAATGACCATGAACTACTACTCTACTGAGAATTATTCCAGGGCCCAAGGAGTAACTTTTATATGTTACTTTTCCAACCGATGCGAGATGCTGTATTTTAAAATGTTAAAGGCTCATGAGCCCCCAATGATATATTTCCCATTTGTAAATCAGCCACACTCAATCTTAATCAAAATTTTGCTGAAAATACAAAGCAAACACATAATATTTACATAATATTCCACCAACAAATTTCACTTACATTCTCCCACCAATGCATATACTGTCCATGGGGAGAGTGAGCACATACTTAAAGTCCTATAGTTATGAAGGGGGAATAAAAGGAATTCATGTAGCCAGGGCATCACAGTTCTGCTAACTGTAGACTTACGGTCTTTTTCTGTCTCTGCAACTGTTAATGAAAGCTCTTTGATATGCATATCTTCTGTGTCTAACAGATACTTAACATTGCTCAACTGAGCTGGTTCACTGCTCAACAGTGCTTAATGAACATCTCACTGGTCAAAACATTTCAGTTAGACAACTCTATCCACTGAGAATCTTGTCTGATTCTCTGCTTCCAAGCTATTTCTCTTCTCTACTGAGCTTATTCCTTAGCAGAAACTGGGGTATCAATCAGTCTCAGCTTCAGGCTTAACTTACTCCTACAAGTCAAGTAATATTATACTCTTTTAGGAAAAGACAATAACCTTTATCCAAAAACAAAAAAACAAACAAAAAAAAAACCTCCTATCCTTTATCCTGGTGTCTCCAACACTGCTACTTTGCAGAATTCTTTTCCTTCTCCACCTCTCAGCAACAATGGGTGGCAACACAAAGATGTATCTTCTGTCTTTTTTCTCTTCTCTTATTCTCAACAAATAATAATAGAAAACATAGTATGTTCTCTATATTCCTTCTTCTGAACATCAACTGGCAGAGAGGGAACTCCAGTTTCTCATTGGGCAATCAATATTCCGAGCAACAAAACAATCCAGAGACAATCCAGAGACAAAATTACATTCTCTCTTTAATATAGTTCTAAAATGTGCCCTTTCACATATTTCCCTTCTCCCTTGGTTCAGCAGCTAGGTCCTTTCTACAATCTTAGCTTATAGTTAGTACTAAGTTCTCATATTGTCTATAATCAGGTAAATTAAATTTGTCCCATTATCACAAAACAATTCTGACACCTAAGCTTCCCCAGTTATGAGCCTAAAAGTTCTCCTGTTCTTTGTATTCAAATCAATAAAGGAGACTGTGTTATCCATTCACTCCAGTATTCTACAGCCTGTCATATTCAATGTTATCTCAGAATATTTAAGTTTCATTTAACTTAGTAACTGCTTCTCTAAGGCAGATCAGTAGACCTATGCCCCAGATAAGTGAATTTATCAACTGTTTCTCTATAGAACCTGAAGAAGGCTTATATCCCAGGCAATTGAACTACCCAGGGTCAAGCCCTTAAATGAAGATTTGACTATAGGTCACAGTGACAATAAATTTTAGGAGGAGACAGATAGGAGGAGGGATTGAAGGATAGCATGTTATGACAAAAGAAGAATTTCAGAGTTCTGGGGTGGGGGGAGAAATGAGAGTAGAGTAGTTATGGTTGATGGTGAAATCAAGGATATGGATATACCTATACGTGGCAGAGGGGAAGTGAAAGTGTAGGTTAGGGAAGTGTGAGGAGTAATGTACTAAGAAGTCAGGGTGTTAGTGGGGCTATGAACATGTATATTAGAGTCCTCTAATATAAGGACCAGGATTGGGGTATATGGAAATCTATGGGGTAGATGTGATCTATGTACTACTTGACTCAAGAAAATTATGACAATGACTTAGGAGTCAGTAATTAAATTTAATTCACCAAACATTTATTAAACACCTACTGTGTTTAAGGCACTGTACTACAAAAATAAACAACACAGAACATATCCTTGAGAAGCTTATATTCTACTTGGGCAATTACAATGCAGGTATAAAACATGGTAGAGAGGAAAGTTAACTGTCTCTGTAATTAAAGGACCTAGGTTCAAATTCTCTGGTGCTTACTACCTGTGTAACTTCGGGGAAGTCAGTTCCCTCATTTGTACAATAAGTGTTAGACTAGATAGAGGATATATTGAGCACTTATTATGTGTTAGGCAATGTGTTAATCGAGGGCTACAAATAAAACCAAGCAAGATAGTCACTGCCCTCTGAGAGCTTACATATAATTGGGAATAACCTCAGTGATCTCCAATCTAAGTATACTATAAAGAAAATTGGGCACAAAAAGTACTAACAGAGATGAGCAGGAAAGTTTTCACACAGGATGTGGCAAATGAGCTGAAGATTCTGAGACACTGAGAATTGGGAGAAAATTTCAGGCACGGGCAAAGGCTCATGCAAATGTATAGGGATGGAAGATAAAGTGCTAAGGTTAGAAAGCAGTTGGTAATCAAATGAGCCTTGACTTGACTAGAACATAGAGTTTGTGATAGGAAGCAATATGCAAAGCCAATGAAAGTTGTTGTTGTCCAACATGACCCATGATGCAAAAATGCTATCTGTACTTTGATCCACATTATCACTGCAATACCCCCACTTAAGCAGAGGTCAGATTTCTGGCAATATCAATGCTTGAGATCACATCTGTATACCTGCAAGTAAGTGAAACATCCTTTTGAATGGTGAAATATATGACAAAACCCGTGTACTACACAACTCACACACTTTACCATAGGAGAAGCCCCTCATTCCACTCAAAGACTATTTGTTCTGTCTTATGTACTATTCTAACAAGATCAGTTATCTGGATTTTAGAGATCAGAAATAATTTTAATAGCCCACACTTATATAGCTTAATAGGCTTGCAAGATGTCTTCCTCACAACAACCACATGAAGTATATAGTTAAAATAGCTGGTGTACATAGTGATTTAAGACTTGTAAAGTACTCTACATACATTACCTCATTTGAACCTCACAGCAACTTTGTGAGAAACTTTCTACAAGAATTATTGTTCCCATTTTGTAGATGAAGAAAGGAAGGCTCAGAGAGCAGCCACTTGTCCATGGTCACATAGGCAGTAAGTGTAGGCATCAGAATTTGAACTTTGACTTTTTGATTCTGCATTGACACTATTGACTGTTTCAATGGCTAGGTATTATTTCCACAGGAATAGCCAGGTGGCACGGTGGATAGAGTGCTGGGCCTGGAGTCAGGAAGACTCATCTCCCTGAGTTCAAATATGGCCTCAGACACTACCTATGTGACCTTGGGCAAGTCATTTAAGCCAGTTTACCTCAGTTTCCTCATCTGTAAAACGATCTGGAAAAGGAAATGGCAAACCGCTCCAGGATCTTTGCTGAGAAAAACCCAAATGAGGTCATGAAGAGTCAGACATGAATGAAAAACAAATTATTTCCACATCATACATGAGAACATTGAAGTTGAGAGGGTCAAATGACATAACCAGTCACCAAATGAATAGGTGAACCCGGACTCAAACACAGGTCTTCTGTCTCTAAGGCTAGTGGTCTTTCCACTATAACATACTGCTTCTCACCCAAATTAGAAGGTGACAGTAATGGATAGTAAAAAGATGGCTGTCAGTTATCACTGACAGCCCTGGGAAGAGACGGTTAACTTGCTAGCTACAAGAGATGAAACCAAAAACTATACAGTTACGCTCAAGAATGAACAACATAGAGGCCATTAAGGTTAAGAGCAAACATATCTTTATACCTCAGTAACCTCTGAGGCTTATGATATTGTTCCTGTGCTCTGAAATCAACCACAGTAGGCCACAGAGGAGGGATGCGCCAGAGTTAATCAATAGAAGCCACCCAAGTAATTCATCCTTTTTAAGGGCAACCAAGAGATTGGTCATTAAGATCTAGGGACTCTTCTGGCCTGGTCAAGTTGCTTATTTGCCTTAGTTTCCTTAGCTATAAAACAGAGAGAAATAATACCAACTAAGTAGAGATTTATAGGAAAACAAATACTTTGGCCTTCTTGGGAAAATATGAGTTCAATGAATTCAGACTATTAGTTTTATTGCTGTTATTGTTATTATAAGTCATGACTCCTTTCCTGTTACAAAAGTATAGCCTTTGACTAAGCTAACCACAGAACCTTTAGATTTCCCCAAGGACAGCTCTGGCCAACACACTTCCCATTTGAATACAGGAAGCAGCATGCATGACTTGGGCTACAATTTCAATGGAAATGCTCATTCATTATCTGGGCCTGTTTTCACTGACCAGTTGAATAGAGGTGATCAAAGCCAGCAAGTTGAACCACATATGTTTCTTAATCACCATTGGACAAACAAAGACATTTTTATTCTTCTTTGTTTACAGAATTATGCCAAACTTATTCCTGGAGCTACAGTGGGACTTCTTCAGAAAGACTCTGGAAACATCCTTCAGTTGATTATTGCAGCATACAAGGTATGGTACCTTACAGTCTCTACATTTTGTGTGTGTGTGTGTGTGTGTGTGTGTGTGTGTGTGTGTGTTTTAAAGCTAAGCTATGTTTTCATGCCAATGAATGGCCTCTATCATGAATGCCCAAAGTTGGAAGGGCACTTTTGCTTTCATCTTTTTATTTAATTGAATAGCTATCCTTCCTAAAAGGTGGAACACAGAACACATAGCCACACACACACACACACACACACACACCACACACTCATATGTCTGGTCCTATAGTTGTAGTTGTTCACAAAATAGTACCCAACAACAAAACACTATCATTGTGAAATTCTTTCCTCTCCTGTAACTGTGTATTGTGTGAGTCAATCATAATACCCCTCCAAGGCTATTGTAATGGCTCTAAATAAAATGGAAAAACTATAGATAAAAAATGGAGGCAATCTGTTGAGAAATAATTGTGCATAGTGTAGTAACCCAAGAGAATGCCTAAAGAGCCAATGTAGGCATGGGATAGGTGGTGTGGTTTGTTTATTGTTGTTTTTGACACAATAAATTGACAATCCTTTGCTACGCTAGAATGTTGCTCATTCAGAACCAGTAGAACATTGTGCACGGTAACAGCAACATTGTGCAATGATCAACTATGATTGACTTAGCTCTTCTCTGCAATACAATAATCCAAGACAATTCCAAAAGACTCATGATGTAATATGCTATCCATATTTAAAGGAAAAACTATGGAGTCTGAATGCAGATCAAAGCATACTATTTTCACTTTTTTATTTTCTGCGGGTTTTTTGTGGCTTTTCCCTTTTGTTCTGTTTCTTCTTTCAGAACATAACTAATGTGGAAATATGTTTATATGATTGCACGTGTATAACCTATATCAGATTGCTTGGACTCCATGGGAGGGAGGGAAGGAGAAAAAATTTGAAACACAAAATCTTATAAAAAATGAATGTTGAAAACTATCTTTATGTAATTGGAAAAATAAAATAATATTTATCAAAAAAAATTTTTTTCAAAAAAAATGTTGCTCATTACCTTTAACCTAGCATTTTCAAATGGACCTTAAAAAAAATCACCAAAAGCAAACCAGTGAAACCCCTGTTCTGGATTCTGCTGTCTGAAACCAGGGGAGATTTCCATTGGTTTTATAGGCATATACTTATTGGACTAGATTTTGTGAACCTGAGAATAGAATTTCTCCCTTCACTGAAGGCGCACACCAATTTACTAGTTACAGTATTGATTTTTGAGGCCTGGTTTCATGATTTAAAAGAAAGAAGTACAGATATCTGATGAGTGTCCTTCCATTTATTTTATTCCACAATTTTTTTCCTTATCTTTCTTTTTTGGAGGAAAAAATGAAAAATTACACACATAAAAAAGGTAGGTCTTCTAATCCTGGAGAAGGAAGTGTATAAAGAGATTATCAAAACTTATTGTCTCACAAATAGCTTGGTTTTATAATTTTTGACATTATAAAATTAACAGCGAATGAACCATACCCAGCAATTTATCTACAACTACTCCCCTCTACACAACCCACTCCCAGTTCAAGATAGATGTTGAACAGTCATTCATTCTCAAATATCTCATTCCAACAAAGAATTAAACACAAATTTGTCTTTTTGGTTAAAGTAGAATGCAGTATTAGGGCCTACACTGCCATCCTTTGAAATTTCAGTTCACTTGGCTCACATCAAAAATTTATCACCACATTAGCTCAGGCTTGAAATTCTTCCAGTCAGGAAAGCCAGTCAACAACAACACTATAAAAACCTTCTCTGCCCATACAGTAATTAAAGTTTTAATGTGTAGAATTTAATAAAAAACACAAGGTGATCCTTTACTGAATGAGAACACACTCCAATTGGTTTACCCCAGCATTTTCAAATTAGTTTCCTTCTAAAATCTTCAAAGGATTTAAGGAAATTGGGAAAGAGTGAGTTGTCAAAATATTTGTTATAAGATATTCTCATATTCCCTCTTCCTCAAGGCCTGCTCTGATCATGTCTCTGCTTGCTTTAACAAAGGTTAAGTTCTGTATTAAGGCTCTGTGTGTGTGTGTGTGTGTGTGTGTGTGTGTGTGTGTGTGTGTGTATGTATGTGTGTGTGTTATGATCTGAAAATGCAACTGTAACTTGGAGGGTAGTTGAAATAAAAATTGTTGATCATTTGAATTAAGCCCCCATTATATTCAAATATTCTAAAGTACAAATAAGCAGATACTCTATAGAAGGTTTAGAACTGTTATTGAACCACTGGAACTCAAGACAATCATAAATCATAAAAAAGTAAGGATAATCGTAAATTGGGAAATAAATCTTAGAAGAGACTAAAATTATTTTTCTTTTTTAAATATTTATAAATTTTTTTCAATTAACAAACTTTTTTTCTCTCCCACTTCTACCCCATTGGAGAAGAAAAATAAAACCCTTTTAAATATGCATGGTTTAGCTAAATAATTTACCACCTTGTCCTTATTCAAAACTCTATGTGTCATTTTGTATATTGAGTCCATCCCCTCTCTGACAGGAATTGTTCATCATTGGTCCTCTGGAAATTGCAGTTGGCTATTGCTGTAATCAGAGTTTTTAAATCTCTTAAAATTGCTTTTACATTGTTTTTGTTATTGTTCTCCTAGTTCTTCTCACTTCACTCTGCATCAGTTCATACAAATCTTTCCAAGTTTGTCAGGAATTGTCTCTTTCATCATTTCTTACAGCACAACAATACTTGATTACATTCACATGCCATAATTTGTTCAGCCATTTCCTAATTGATGGACATTCCTTTACTTTCTGGTTTCAAATTATTCTTGTAATCTTTTGTTGATGTCAATGTTAAGAGAGGCAAGGTGGCCCAGTGGATTGAATAATGGATATGGAGTCAGATCTGGTTCTGACGTAGATTAGCTCTATGACCATAAATTAACACTTCCAAAGAAACATAAATGAAATAAACTTCAGATGCCGTCTAGTCCACACACATGCCCATTTTACAAATGAGGAAACAGGTCCAGGGAAGTGAAGAGAATTTTCCCAAAACCAAACATGTAGGAAGCATCAAAAGAAGAATTTGAACTCAGCGGCTCAGCTTAAAGAGCCAGGGTTCCTTCCACTGTCCCAATTTCTCTGAATTTCAGATGATTTCCTCAGATTATAAATCATAAGTGTACAACTGCCTCTGTCGAGGGGGTAATTATCCTGCAAAAAAAAAATCAGATCTTGAGCTGAAAAGAACCTCAGGATCAATCTAGCTCAGTTTCCTTAAGTGACAAATAAGGAAACTGAGGTCCATGGAGAAGAAATGACTTCCCCTATGTCAGAGAGGTAAGAAGCAATCAGAGGTAGAATTTGAACCTAGTTTCACATCCGTTTCTCTTCCCAGTGGTTTAATTTCTCTAATCCTCAGGAAATCCTTTAAAGACTATGTTATACATGGATTGCATCTAAGTCAGCGGAAGGAATTCTTACTCTGACAAAATTGCAGATTCCTAATGTATTTTAAGTTAAACTTTGAGGCAGCTAGTTGCACAATGGATAAGAGCTATGGACCCGTAGTTTGGAAGATGAGTTCAAATCCAGCCTCAGATGCTAATCATGTGACTATAGGGAAGTCACTTAACCCCTGTCTGCCTTGATTTCTTTGTCTGTAAAATGAGGATAATAGCATCTATCTCCCAGGATATTTGTAAAGATCAAAAGAGATAATTTTTGTAAAATGATTTGCAAACTTTAATGGACTATATAAATACTATATTTACTGTCTAAAAAGATAGCTAGATCGTGCAGTGGATAGAGTGCTATGCTTAGAGTCAGGAGGGCTCATCTTCCAGAGTTCAAATCTGGCCCCAGACACTTGCAGGCTGTGTGATACTGGACAAGTCATTTAACCCTGTTTGCCTCAGTTTCCTCATCTGTAAAATGAGTTGGAGAAGGAAATGGCAAACCACCCCAGTCTCTTTGCCAAGAAAAGCCCAAAAATGGAGTTACAAAGAGTCAGATATGATTAAACAAAAATGATCTTAATGGCTATTTCAAAACCATGGCCATAGTTTTTGTCTTTGTTTTAGCCAAATATTACCTCAGTTGCTATGCCTCAATCTTCTTTACAATCTAAAGTAAAAATAGAAGCCATATAGTGCTAATAAATAAAGTGCATTCCAGTTTACTGAAAAAGATTTATGATATTCCAAAAGATCTGAGGCATTTCATTTGTTGTTAGAGTTCTATGAGGCGAACTTTAAAATCAGCAGCATTTTACTATGTCAAAGTGATAATCAGATTTAAACATTAGACAAGCTTTCGTCTGGATGAACACTGAGGACATTAGTGAATAAGTCCTTAGGGCAGTTACCAGTGACCTTGTTCTGTGGTGATATTAAATGTTCTGAAGATTTTTTTTTTATCCTCCATGAAATTTGCAAAAAAAAAAATTAAACATGTTCTATTCCAATTACTCTGTGATGAGATTTCCTTCTTTTTCATGAATCCTTTCCTCCTTCAATTTCTGTGCTTGAAACTAAATCTATTAGGAAAACATAATTGGTTTAAAATTTTTTAAGGCATGAGGGAGCTTGCCTTGGAGTCAAGAGTCCCCAGATTCAAGTGGCCCCCTCTGCCACATGTTGGCTGTATGATCCTGGGCAAGTCACTTGACTTCTCACTGCCCCAGGCAGCTCTCTAAGACTATAATTTTAGAGTAGTGTTATGAATATATTAATCATTGAAATCAGAGAGATGGTAAGAGACAGATACAGAGAAGGACAGAAACAGAAAGGGAGAGGGAGACAGAAATTGGTATGGAACATTTATTTTTGCAAATTTTATAGAGGATATTTTATTCTAAATTTCACATGGACCAACAAAATATCTTTAGAACATACAATATCATCACAAAACAAGGCCACTGCCCTCAAGAACCTTTACAGGCATACCTTGGAGATATTGCAGATTCTGTTCCAGACCACCACAATAAAGTGAATATCGCAATAAAGTGAGTCAAGAATCTTTTAGTTTCTCAGTGCATATAAAAGTTATGTTTTACACAATACTGTAGGCTATTAAATGTGCAATAGTGTTATGTCTTTAAAAAAACTATGTATATACCTTAATTTAAAAATACTTTTTTTGCTTAAGAAAATGCTATCATCTGAGCCTTCAGTGGGTCATAGTCTTTTTGCTGGCGGAAGGTCTCGCCCTGATGTTCATGGTCGCTGACTGACCAGGACGGTGGTTGCTGAAGGCTGGGGTGACTGTGGCAATTTCTTAAAATAAGACAACAATGAAGTTTGCCTCATCGATTGACTCTTCCTTTTATTTGAACACTTAATAACCCATTATAGGGTTATTAATTGACCTAATTTCAATATTGTTGTGCCTCAAGGAACAAGGAGGCCTGAGGAGAGAGAGAGAGATGGGGAAAGACTGGTTGGTGGAACAGTCAGAACACACACAACATTTGTCAATTAATTTCACCGTCTTATATGGGTGCAGTTTGTGATGCCTCAAAACAATTACAACAGTAACATCAAAGATCACTGTTCACAGATCACTATAGCAGATATAATAATAATGACAAAGTTTGAAATATTGAGAAAATTACCAAAATGTGACACAGAGACACAATATGAGAATATGCTGTTGGAAAAATGGCACTGATAGACAAACCTTTAATTTATTAAAAAAAAAAACAATGTCTGTAAAGAACAATAAAGCAAAGTGCAATAAAACAATGTATGCCTGTACTGATATTCTAAGTATGGCAAGAGAGAGAGAGAGAGAGAGAGAGAATGAGAGAGAGAGAGAGAGAGAGAGAGAGAGAGAGA